TTATATCTCCGCTTTATTTGCCGGGCTTATATACTAAAATAGAGGGCACCTGGAAAAGACTAGAGTTGCCAGGAAAAGTCAAGATCCTTCGAGAATCTCATGACGTGTTACTAGCGTCACGTGACTTCCGCTGTCGCAACAATATCAATGTTTCGTCTTTCGTCACGGGAAGGCTGCCAACTCGCTCAGGGCATATGTCATGATGACAATTATGTCGTTTGGTGGCAGGAAGGACTAGGTTAGCAAAAATTATCTCATCTACATGGATTGTTGTACAGTGGTCTCAGTGTGTCAGCGATAAGCAGCCACTACATGGTCGCTTTCAACATATACCTTCAAAGTCTTATAGTCTGTATGAGAATATATAACATTATTAACACTCTAGAAGTCTCGGTAAGCCTTTTAAATTCAACAGAGGACTTCTCCGAGCCATTTGAGGATTTACCAATCTCACTTTTTCAATCAGTGTTGCTCTCTTCTTCTTTTATGCCATAGTATTTTGCCAGTAAACAAGCACATCTTTCAGGTAATTTTTCCCAAAGAACATGAAAAATAAAACATTTGAAAGGAAAAAGAATCTAACTTTTAGCCACAATATTGTTAGCATTGTCGTAACTTTGGTCCCTTTTTCTGATCTATCATAAAGAAAGAATATTTATTACCGTCTAGTTCCCAGCTATACCTATAACTCGCGTTTTATTCACTTTTTAATGGTTATTATCATACTATCAAACATTTTGTTCATTTTTGGTTTAATTGTTTTTATTCTCTGTTTGGTTACCATTCTAGTACGGAAATAGCGTTTAGTTTTATTTAAAAACAACTCACGAGTGTTTGCTCCCATATATCCTAAAAACGTTCAAAGCAGAGTGATTTACCCCATCGAACCTATATAAAACAGAAAAAAGTCAGACATTGTGAAGTGGCTGTTGATTTCATTTAAACGACTCTTACACATTCTTTGACACTGAAACACCAAATACAGTACTATAAATTAGTTCACAAATTAGTGAAGTTTTCTTCAGAGTTGAAGCTACAACATTGTGATTAATATATTCTAGAAGCAGAGCTGTAACTTCAAAAAATATTCAAAAAGGACTACATGAACATGTAAAAAAAATCATGACACGAATCACCCAATTTAAAGCTAAAGTAACATGCAAGTATGTTTATTTTGCCTGCACTACATTACGTAGACAATTACGAGTTAAGCTTCAAAAATCTAAACACCATGTTGAAGCACATGACAAACCTATCCCGTTACTTGTGGTAGTATTTATGTATAAACAGAACATTTTATACATTCTATAATTTTTTCGGAAAACGTCGATGGAAAACAGCTTATAGTTTTCAACTAACACTAAAAACTACTCATGTCCTGAATTTAAGGCTGTTGGCTTTATTTTTTATCTTTATACACACACATATATATATATATACGTATAACTAGCGTGCTAATATAGCTGTGGGATTCTTAATCTTTGAGACGATAACACATGTTTAGTTCTCGAGTGAAAATTAACAAAGAATTGATGTTGCACAGCGACTTATATATCATGCGAAAAGTGGTATCGATGATTCAAGCTTCAGCTATCAATCACTCCCTTCATAGTTGTCTACCGTTCAGATAAAGAAAAATGTTAACTGTTGTAATTCTTCTTTCTATGTTGTTCTGTAGTGGCGTTCATACCAAAATTTACAAGAACTGTGAACTAGCTAATGAGCTTGTTAAGAAATTTGGTTTCTCCAAAGATCCTGGAAGTTTAGGAAATTGTAAGTTTATATACTCATGACCAACACAAATGATATATTTAACTAATGACCATAATGTATGATTGTATGCTGCCTTCTTCCACTTGTGTAGCCACTTTTACTTTGATATGGGTTTGAAGTTGTAAGTAAATTTCTTAAAATTTAGTAGAAATTATCTACTTGTGTTTCTGTGCTTACCATTCTCATTTTTTTAAAGTTTTAGCATTGAGTTGAAATTACTTAACTTCATTGATGAATTTAATCCTTATTCTGTATGTTTTAAAGGCATGCAAGTTTGTAACCTAACAGCATTCTCTAGGCGTTTAAGGCTAGTCATTGTCGATCTTCAATTGCAGAAAATGATATCTTGCTCTTCAGATCTTGTTCTTTTTTCATATGAAAAAGTAGTTGCATTTTATTAACTTTGCAATAAAGTAGGCTGTCTTAGTAACAAAGTAAACACTATAAGATATCTTACGCGTATAACACTTCCAACTGAGAGTACAAAAAATATCTATACGAGAGGATAATTTTAAAATGTGTACCTCACTAACTACAACAAATATACAGTCTTGGCCAAAATGTTTGCATATATTGTAACAAATAAGATCATTGTTTTTAAGATGGAATACAAATACACTAAATGTTGTCAAACTGGGAAGTGCATGTTATAGTAAACAACTACATATGCCTAATCAAGCTATCAAAGAATGTCTACACATAAGTACTTTTTATAATGAGACAGGTTCTATGTACATCATGAACGATTTATTAGAACAGCAAACAGTTTTATCAGACACCTGTAGAAAGATGTGTAATTCAGCATTTCACCTATCACAACAAAATCTTACCAAAACGAATATAATGACAAAATATAACATCAAATTATTATAATAGCGTCTGTAACCTTATATCAGTTCATATTAAACAATCAGTACTTGGTTGGTCCTCCTTGTACTCTAATAATGTCTGCAAGGCAATGTGGCATGCTGTCGATGAGGTACTTGATGTAATCACTGTGAGTTCATCCCAACTTGTCACTAGAAGGCGCTGAGACACAGATACGGTAACTGGTTTAGAGTCGTGATTTCCAGTTTTCCGGCTCAGTTTTTCCCAACAGTTCTCAATGGGATTACAATCTGGTAGCTTTGCTTGTCATGGTAATCTTGTAACGTCCTCATGGTCGAGATAAACCAGTAAAATATGCACACTGTGGGCAGTGGTATTGTCATCCTGGAACATAAAGCTATTGCCAAACTTTACCCTAGCATATGCTAGAAATATCGTCCCCATCCTGTAGGAGGCGCCATTGACGTTTCCTTGGAGGACATGCAGAGCAGTTTTCCACCATCATGAATAGCTGTCCAAACATGTACTTCACCATCTCCTGTGTGTTCTCTGTGGGAAAGATAGTCTTTCCTCATCTGTTCTCCAGGCAAACAACGAACACGAATCCTCCCATTATCTTTAACAAGTCGGAAACACGACTCATCTGAAAAGATGACAATGCACCACCGTTCTAACTGTAAGTTTGTATGTTGTCTTGCCCAAATAACACGCTAACGGTGATGAATTCTGGTTAATATCGGTTTGCAGATAACCCTTCTTGCAAAATAACCTTGTTAGGACAGTCTTCTGTTCACTGTTCTTCTAGACATCCTGGAATGAACGTGTTCATGATGCCATTCCTGTTATAAGGTGTTGCAAGACTTCTTTCGACCTTGACATGTTAACCTGATCAAAACACAGTCATCTCAGGTAGCTTTTTTCAGTGTCTACGAGTAGACTTTTTTGGAACAACGTTTCCTGTAATCCAATGGCATTTCAGGATTCTGGATGCAGTACACTAGGGTACTCTACTGTTCTGGCAATGTCCGTTTGCTTCACACAATTTCTGGACAGTCGAACAATTTGACCCCCTATAACTTCTGGCACGTGACGAGGCATGACTCCACACCAAGTACAGAGAAATTGTCTGAACAAAGTGTTGATCTGTTTCGAAAAACATTGTACCAAAAGTATACCCTTTTATACAAAACAAGTGCTCAGAACAACTTGTACAAACCAGAATAACAATTCGTTCATATTTGTGGATGCAGATAGACAAAACATCAATATAGAACAGTATAAAAACATTTTGGCTAAGATTGTACATATATATGTATATATTATATGTCAGCGAAACATTAAGATTTTAGCGATTCAATTCCGTAAACTTGTAGCTGACACTGAAATGTTTTTAAATTCATCTATGTACGCCCTCCCTCCGGTGGCTAAGCACAAAGGCTGAGGGTTTATAACTTTAAAAATCCGGTTTCAATACACACAGTAGGCACAGCATAGATAATTTTTTTTGCTTAACAACAAAACAAATAAAAATATATTTATTTGTATTTGATATTACTTAAAAAGAGCTTCTTATTGTGACGTAACCAATTTTAATGCAAAGAAAACTTTCAAGTAGAAAATGTTCTCTGATCATCAACACAAATAATCAAAATTTAAATTAACATGAAACTTAATTTTTTTTTCCGTTTTTAAGAAAACTAAAGTTAACGGCAAAATTCATTTAGGATTCCAAGCTTTTTTCGTTTGTTTTAGAGCAAACCTATATTAGGCTGTTTGCTCTGTTCACCGCGAGGAATCGAAACCCCGACTTCAGAGTTTTAAGTACGAAGACTGACTGCTATCCTACCGTGAGAAATGTGAATCACAAAATAAGAAACCTATCAGATTTTTTAAAACTCTAATACTGTAACTGTTATTTGTCTTTCTTAAATCAGATATCATATACCAATAATTACTTATCCATTAAATTCTATAAACGAAAGTTTGCAATTGAAAACATTAAAAATATTACACAACACTGTACTGATGTTTTAGCGCAAAGCTGCACAAATGACTATCTTCGCTCTCTCCGTCGCGGAGAATAGAGCCCCGGATTTTAAATACAGTACTGAAATATTTTTTTCGAAATTTCAGAAGATGCGTCTAGAAATTTTGATCCTTCGGGAAACGTAATGCAGCTATAAAATACTGTTGCGTCATCGAGATCATGTGATTCTCACGCTCTCTACTATCTAGAATTATCCTGTACTTTGGCGAATGTTCTA